TCAAACGTGACAACAGGTTTACATTTGCTATCATAGAAGTGACCAACTTAGTTCAGTCGTTGTTAGAGAAGGACGAGTAACTCACAAATTCCACAGACATATTTTACATGTCCTAAGACGTGAGCAGTAATTTAAAGGGATGCCAATTATCCCAGAAAACATTTAACCAATGAAATACGAGCTTTGTTGCTTCGAGAACTATGATTAGCGCTCTAAAGATTAGGCCGTGATAGTGTTGAACATGAAGACGGCATGATATAATAACTGTTGTAACACGCAGCATGTATTTCACACAGCTACCTGAAAACATTGTCAGTGGAATATTTCAGGAATTTAGAGACGTAGGAGCTGCTTATGATGCCCTTGATTCGCCAGTTATGATTATTCCTTGCTATATCCTGCTAATTAGGGAGATTTTAGATGCCCGTTGTTTGATTCCAATCTGACTGAATAGTTATTGATAATTATGATGATAAGCAGGTCGGAGAGGGAAAATGTGACTGTTCAGAATATTATTCGTTACAAGCGTTGACATAACTCGAAATAGATAGTGAATAGTGAGACTTGGAAACAATCGTTGAATAGATTAATGCATACAAACACACAGAAGGACAAATGAGATGAATAATTATAGAATTAGAGGACATGGACACAAGAGATATAAGTTTTCGATGTCATAATTTCTTCTAAAAAGAATAGATTTGTTAGGAAAACGAAAATTATTCAATAGCCATTTGCTGTCTGAGTTATTTAAATTTATCCAAAAGTTGAGATCAATCATGGTGTGTAATAACATAGATGCTATCACAAGATATTCTCTGTTCGGGGAATCGAAGCTGGCTTACGTGGACAGCAATGGTGACAAAAACAGGTTTCAGATTACAGTACTTATTACCGAAAAACTGAGGTTTGGTATGGGTCGAGAAAAGAAGAAACTTGTAGGCCTGAGATTAAGTTATAGTCGTTGGAACATCATACCCATGTAATAAAGTCAAAATGGTTATACTCATCGTGGGCAATGAAGATAGTAGGACACCAAAAATGAAGTGATTGAGGCAGAGCCATATGCAGAACGTTCGACCTGAGTACTAACTAAGTAGTCTGAATGCCAGGACTTCGTGAGCCAATAGTCGGTACAGCAGTTAGAGTGAGAGAAGGCAGTGCTAACACTACTTTTCAGTTGTGCTTTCCTTTTATTATTTAATAGTACACTACTTACAAACGATAAGTAGTTTCAATCACCCCGAATTATTTCTTCAGACAGTAAACGTTGCAGAGCGATACTTAGTTTTAACGAGTCGCTTACCTAATTCGGATATACCCCTATTACACCGTTCATTTCTCTTCACTTATATTCCCTATGTTCAACTTTTCAGAACTTTGTCTACTGAGCATCTCGACTATTTTTAGTGTCAAATCCAATCAATTTTCACTAGCTTGTAACATCGTCTCTTGATATCAGTATGCAAACAAAAATCCAGCCTTCAACATACGCGCTGTAACAAATTCAATTATGGTTAGCAATTACGTTTTCTCCTATTTTACTGAAAACTTAAGAATGTTGAAAAATAATTTTGAAAGCCGTTTTGGAGAAAACTAATATACTTGCTTGCTAAAGCTTAATCCACACAACTGGCTAAAAAAATTCACTAATTGATTTGTTAATAACTGATTCCATCCTTCGAAGGTACATAGTAAGGCATTTATTATTTCTAAGATACCATGTCATATTTTGTTGATTGGAAAAATGTAGCTACATTTCTAGGTCATAAAATATTGTTCTTGCCTCAGGGACCAGAATATCTAGCACATAATTTATGTGGGATTAAAAAACAACGCAGACAATTATTGTTGTATTACGAGAAACAAATACAATGAAGTATTTAAAGAGATTATTTAATTTCATTGTCACATTAAGCACCAAAACCAAAAATGGTTTAAAAAAGAAGTATCGTTTTATTGTACAATGGTGTAAAGGTAAAACCCTTAGTTATGTTCACCAATCGATTCTTATCGAATTCAATCGATCTCATTAACCTATCTTCTTTGAGATTGGTTAATGTAGGAGAATGAGTTTCATTGTAATTATATATACATATATACGTCGATTAAGAATACCAGTAAGCAAGAGATACATGTCAAACGAGGATTCATTACAACATTGAACACTTTAACATGTTTAAGTTACTTCTGATCACCACTGACATTCAATATGAAGTCAAACAATGATCTTATGGAATGAATACCAAGCTGCTTTTAGGGTGTAATAAGATCATAAATATAAAGAGGCTTCATTGAATTAAGATTAGAACAATGAAGTAACATACAATTCAACAGCATTCAATTATAATGAATTGACCATACTTATTTTTTTAAACATGTTTTAATTAATTTTATAACTAATGATGATGACCTTAGTTACATGTTTTGCTAAAAATCGACTCCCATTTGAACTAGTTACCTTGGTTACTCTCTAGACATTGTCATAATTTTCATATTTACCATAGTCCCATAGGTGACTAGTTAATTAAAAAAAATAAGCGTATTTAACATTAAATATTCTTTCCATTTTGATGGAGTTTTGTTCTCTGAGTTAGATAGTTTGGTCGTGGAACTTTCATCGTTCTTCTGAACAACATAATCAGCACAAACTTCAGATAGAAGTGAAGTTTTCGAATTTCTCCACATGTGGTTCACAGCTTGTCCTGTAGACCTCGGTGCTCATCAAAATCATCTACCTGAGCTACAAATCTTCTCCACTATATTCTTTCCAATATCATTTAATTTAATGTTGAACGTTATCCGCTTATAGACTCATTTAGTCATGTACATCAAGAAACAAAATGGTACTATTCAATCATACTCTGACAATTTAAGAAAATATCTATGAATAACAATTATTCAATGTTCGCTGAATTTTGATAATGAAGATCATATCATCAGTAATGTATCAAGATTTCTTTTCATAGTCATCAACATTATCATTGTAGGTTGTAAATCAACAATATTGTTGTCATTTTAAGAATAGAATGTTTAGTATTATTTGTAAATCACAACTATTTATAACCTTGCTGATTGGTTTACAATTTTCCCTAATTGAAAGTGATAAACTTCAGAGAAAAAACAGTTGAGCACATTGAGATCATTGAGCAACAGTGTTATTGAGTTAAAATTTTACTTATCTTATAGAACACTAGTCATGCATAGTAATTAATAATAATGCTTTATTTCGGTTATATTTGGCATGTGGTTAGCAGTAGAATCTAGGACGCGGATTACATCTTAATTAGAACAAGTCAGCTGAATTATACGTGCAGCCTAATGTTGATGTTTATGCTGATACACAAACATAAGGCTAATGTAATACATAAACTTGTAACACAACACTTTATTGAGGCAATCCATTCAGGATGCACATATAGCAGTTCAGAATACAAACTCTTAATAACAGCGTTTTAGATTGTCTAAGTGAATTTATGAAATTTACAAAAAATTCCATAAATAATATATCTATCTACGTAGCTAATGTTAGTCAAAAGTGAGATCAATCATTACAGCTCTCTTGACTTCGAAATTCAATAATATGCCATGTTTTACTCCGTGAATTTAGCTATCCTTTTTGAGATGCATTCCTTTTCAGCATAATTTTCTTTCCAATTCCTTTGCTGTTCTCTGTGTTCTGCTCATGTAATTACTTAGATGGTGGATATGTTTAAGTTATATGATATTAATGACTAAGTGATTTGAACTATGCTAACCTGATACTGTTAAGAATAAAACTATGGTAATCAAATGTTCTATCGAGCGAACTACGTTAAAAGATAAATTTTGAACTAATAAAGATATTATTCTATTTTCTTTCGTTTTTTTTAAGCAAAAAGTAGTGCAAACATGATGATAAGCTACTTAACAAGCCATATTAGTTGTCACTTTAATGACCTTTCAGTTAAATAGATAACTATCAGAAATAACTCGCTGTAGTAGAGAACAAACCAGCTACCATCTGAAGAGGAAATTGGGAAAAGACGTTAGGAGTGATAGGGCATAAATTGGAGAAATAATCAAACTACGTGACAAAACATGGAATCCTGAGGGAAAACGGAAAAGAGGAAGACACAAGAACACATTTCACTGGGAATTGAAGGCAGACAGAAAAAGAAAGAATAACACTTGGGAACAACTGGAAAGAAAAGCCCAGGACAAAGTTGATTGGAGAATCTTAGCTGTCGACCTGTTTCACGATGGGTAAAAAGTGTATTTAAGTAAGCTAACAGAAATGACATTTTCTATTTCATCAGCTAATTTTGATAAATACTTATTGCACAAAATACTTAATGAACAATTATATTCATTAATGAAATGTATACAATGATTGTTAATTATGCTGTCTGAAATACTCTAGGTTGCCAGACTGATTTATAGACACAAAAGTGAAGGCCGAAGTTAAACAAAAGTTCAATTATTATTTGTTCTGTAAATTATTGATCTCATCACTAAACTGCAGATTCGAACCCAACTCCGACTACTTGAATTCCACTAGTCAGTTAGTATCAATAGCTGACACACATAAAACCTGTAGAGTAAAACTGGATGCAAATAAATCTATACTTGGTTAGGGAGTTAGTTTAGAGTAGAATCAAAAATGAACATTTTTATTGAAGTCCAGTTCAGTGGTCTAGAGGTTAAGGTATAGCGTGCAAGACTGAATGTCCTGGGTTCGATACCTCGTCGCGAGGTTATGGGTGAGCACTGCTGAAAAGTCCCACAATAGGATGAAACGTCCGTCCACTGTTTTCAGCTTACCAATGGTTGCTTAACTTAAGTTGATTCGTAATCCTAATAATATTTTCGTTTAACTGGTGGAGCATCGTATAAACTACTTTGAAGATGTCTCACATTTGAACATAGTTTTCGTTCAACTTTGTTATTATCATTATTATTTAGTAAAAGCATTTAATACAATATCTTATTCTAACTTCATCTTCACATCAAATCACAAGTTAACTCGTTCAAACATTGTATTCTTCATTATCTCATCAGTTAATAGTGAATAACAAATTTGAAATAATGAAAAACCCATTGTATAACATAGAGTCTAATTAAAACATACAACTTAATACAATATTCAATATAAGATAACTATTACATCCATAAAAGTTCAATAGGATGGAATAAAACTCACTATAACAAACAAAAAAGTACTATAAACCAAAAAAAAACTTTTTTTAAAGAAAAAGATTAGGAAGTTGAACTTCACATAATGAGCATTACTTCTTCACTGAATAGTTTCAAATATCAGACTACATTCACATTTTACAAGCATCATCACATTCTTGTGATAAAACAGTAGCAAATTCTGGTACATCTTTAGGATTAATTTTCAAAACATCAATAATTTGCTTATAATCAGGATGATTTACAACTTCTTTCTGTTCAAAATGATAGAGAACTTTACCACCTTGTTATAATAAAAGAGAAAACGAAATAAACGTATACTATATACTTTGTATAGATCAAATGATAATTATTTTACAGAAACATATAATTTAAAAAACATTGTTGTAAGCCTGATTTATGATAGAGTTGAACATGTAGTATACACGTTCACATGGAGATAATTATTATTCACCAATAATCAAACAGATATTTGATGATTAACATTTCCGAAGGTTATTTAGTTCATGAAAACAAAACAGTTGTCCTACTTCATAACGGTATGTATTGAAATTCCTGAGCTAAACTGTAAACCTATCCACCCCGAATCAATTGATAGGAAAGTGTATAGAATATGCTAGATTGTAGTCTATCTAAACATATTCAATTCTCGATATAGTAGTATTGCTATATGACCAAACCATTATATTGTGTTTAACCAAAAAATCAATAATTCATTGATTGCATTGTATAAAGAAATACAAGCTACTTATTACGAGTCATCTAGATATTGGGAATTAAAAGGTGAAGATGTTGTATAGGATAAATAAAGAATGTGATCACAATTTCAGTGAATTCAGGAATATCATACTTATATGGTATGTAACTGTTTATTTGGCCCCTTTCATTTAGTGTGCCCTTTTTATATAAACAAGTAAACAACATACAAATAACTCAATTTTAGGATTGCTAAGTAAGTCAATCACATGAATCAAACAGTTGAATCAGTAATTACTCTAATTTTTTAAGGTCACATTTGTACCATATGACAAAAACCACAATATATAAGTGTAAATAGGGTTAAGATAATCACAAGCTCTATGTGATTAACAAATGTATAGATTGATCATAGGCAATAAGTAGTTAAATAAATCCTTCTAATACACACATTATATATGAAATATTTTCTTTTCTATGGTAAAACAACAGTTCCCAATTTCTATGAGTATATAGCACAAATAAATCCATATGGCCTGTGGTAATGAGACAATTTCTTATTCTTTCTATACGATGTTAATTTTCTGGCTCCTTTATTACTTCATTTACTTGAATCTTCATTTAATTGACATTTGTTAATTTTCATGAGCATTTACATTTATTGTTCAATTATATATTTATCAGTATGAGGTTGTTAAGCTTTTTGATGAGATCATGAATTGATTGAAAACTCGAAAGCACTGAATGGTTGTTTCATCCTACTATGGGATGACTCAGCAGTGCGCATCCACGATCCCATATGCGGGATTAGAACTCAGGACTTTCGGTTTCGTGCGCGAACCCTTAACCTCTAGACCACTGATCCGGCGTCCGACGGTGTTAATGTCTAACTTAAATCAATTCACGAATTCGCGCGACCATCTTCCAATGTCTAATTTAAAAGTGTAGGGATTTTGGTCGATCATTTCAAAATTCCCAATATTTCAATATAATTGTGTTCGTTATGTAGTTAGAAGTGGTCAACAGGAAACCTTGGATATAAGGTTCCAGAAATTTGGTGCTCGTTAACAATGTACACCTAGAATCCTGAAGGGACTGATGCTCTTTTTGAAATAAGGACTTGTGTTATCCAGTTTTACAGTTTGAGGCGTTACTACTGAGCTATTCGGGCAGCGGAATGACCTAATGTAGGAATAAACTATGGGTTTTTACTTGAAACGTGACATTAGAAATAGAGTGAATGTACTGTTCACAATCTATCCAGAGAACACCGATAACAACAACGTACATAGAAAAATAGAAATAAACATGATTAAATCACTATTACAAACCTTTTTCAACCACAAGAAGTCCACCAGTTTGCCAACCATCGCCAGTCATATTACCAGGTATATTAGCAGCCTAATAAAAATAATATAAAAGATAACGATCATTATTATATTTAGTATTATCAATGACTGTAGTGTTTATTAGTAGCTAAAAACATGGCTTAATATTAATTTCTTCATATTTTTAATTAAACGTATATTCGGTAAAGGGTTTCGTGGACATTGTAGAATCTGAACAGTTTACATCCATGCACTGACCTTACCTAGACCACCATTAAAAATGAGGAAGCATTTGACAGCTGTTTCATTCTGGTGAAAGACACCTCAGTGATCAAGATGTTAAGCGTTTGCATCGGAGATCGGAAGTCGTGGAGTCCATTCCCTGGGGCAGGGTCATGGATACACTGTTGAGGAGCCCTGCACGAAAACCGTCCAGTGCACCCTGGTCTTAAGTAGCAGTATAGCTAAGATCGGTTCTTGACTAAAACTACGAACGCATATTCAATCTTCCTTTATGAAGAACTGAAAATAATACTATTTATGTCAATTGATGAGGCACAAATATGCATTGATTTAAGCTGTCTCATAGGTTTGACTATTATCCAACAGGATATCGCTGAAAAAAGGTAGTCATAATTTTAACGGTTTATAAAATTTACTACGATTCTGTCATTGGATTGTAGGAACTCTTCAATTAAACACATTTAGGAAAACAGATTGTTTGGGTTCTTACATATTCAACATCACTAGCGAATGTTAAAAACTTCGACGATCCATTCAGCATAAATTACTTATTTACATGCTTACACTTGTTAAATCTCGTGAAAGAGCATAGCCCGTCCACCAGCACTCTCCATCCAACACTGTCCCAAGAAATACTTTCCAGTTGCTATTCATCCTTTTCTTGTCTGCTTCTAATTCTCGGCACAGTATGTTCAATGGTCTACCTCTATTCCTTTTCCCTTCAGGATTCCAAGTTAGCGCTTGCCTCACGATGCAGTTTGACGATTTCCACGATATGTGTCCTATCCACCTCCAAAGTCTTTCCCTGATTTCCTCTCCAGTTAGAAGCTGGTTTTTTCTCTGTCTCAGTGAGTTATTACTGATGGCTTCTGGTCAACGGACAGTGAGTATCTTGCGTAGATAATTGTTTATAAATACTTGTACTAATTTGATCATGGTTGTGGTGGTTCTCCACGTTTCAGCTCCGTACAGTAGAACTATCTCGACTCTCCTATTGAGGATTCTGATTTCGATTTTTGATGATAGTTGCTCTGAGTTCCATATTTTCTTCAATTGTAGGAATGTGGCCTTTGCTTTGCTAATCCTTGCCTTTACGTTGGCATTGGATCCTTCTTGTTCATCGATGATGCTGTCGAGGTACCTAAGTATAATAACTGGCGATCGAGAATAGTTAAAAAGATACTATGACGAGAAACCTGGTGATGGCCATCGTTCAAAAAGAAGACAGTCAATAACATATAGTAAAATGTGACAAGAAAACATGGTATAAAACTCGAGAAGCGATGAACGTTCACGATTCAAAAGTTAGGCTGGATGAATCTGAACTATCGTGATCATTTTCTGAAGGATATTATCTCAAGTCCTCCGAAGTATCCATTTTCCCTAAATGTACCACGCAAGACGTTTAGCTCTTCTTCAACTATATATGTAGAACATATAGTACATATTCGATAAATAAGAGTTTTGATCAGGTTTCTTCTTTACAGTAAAGGTACAAGGCTAAGGAAATATGTATATTACCCTGTCCAGGTAGTTTTCCTATTTAAATGCCTTCTTATTGATCCATCAATTCTTTTTGTTAATAGAACGTCCAAAAAGGCTATTCTAGTGAAGTTATGATAAATTCAGAGGCTGGGTAATTTTTTTAAATACAAAGATTAGATTTTATGATGTGTTCCAACAGTTTCTGTTGTATGCAAGAGTCCGGTTTTGAACACTGAGTTTCTGGTAGACTTGATTTGATTATCAGAATGGGTTTTGTGGAGAATTTTAGAAATTTCACAGGTTGAAATCATGAGTCAGTTGATTAGTCGACAGACATTAATATACGCAAAAGGTAAATTACTAACGGAATTGATTGTTCTCGATGATATGATGAAGTAAGAATTAGGTCTCATATTTGGTCATTAATTCCAGTGAACATTGAATGACTGGTGGGTGTAGGCATAACACTAAGTACGATGGCAGAACAAGCACTATTAGAATGAATCCCCGTTAACAGCCGCCTATGTGCTGTTCGGCTAAATAGCTCCGTAAGAACTCGGAAAGATAGGGACACACGTCGTCGCCTTTCCGTCGTTTCTGCCTACGCTCCCACTGACTGCAGTTCGGATGATGTTAAAGATGACTTTTACAGAAAGCTTTCTGAACTTCTTCAGAAAGCTAAACGCTCAGACATAGTACTCATAGCAGGTGACTTTAATGCCCAGGTAGGTAGATAAAACCAAGCAGAAAGACATTTAGGCTTGTATTTTAGTATTCTAGCTCAGCGAACAGATAATGGTGAGCGTCTGCTACAACAGTGCTCAAATAATCGTGTATTTTTAACAAGCACTGGTTTTAGGCATAAGAAGAGATCTCGTCTAATATAGTGACCCCTGCACCAAACCAACGATGGACTCAAATAGGCCATATTACCACCACTCATCGTTGAAGAGGCTCGACAGAAGACTGCCGATCATTCTGAAGTACATGGTTAGACTCTGATTATGCTCTAATATGAGCACGCATTTGCTTGCGCCTCTCTGGACGCAGAAAATCCATATTTAAAAAACCCATTAGAGTTGAATTGTGTCAAGAAAGCCAAAAGTAAATTCCAGGAACAACTGACGTCACACTTAGACGGTTCTAAAAACGAGGCCGGCCCAGATGTTGCTTGGAAAGATATACAAACAGCTGTGGAAAGAGCAGTGACATCCATTAGTGATCTAAACCAAAGGGTTACGAATAACAAATCGATTTTTATTAAGTCTCTTGTACTGATAGATTCTCGTAAACTCATTCCATCAGGCTCTGAACACGGTGAAGAGTGAAAACAAATCAGATCTAAGTTAACCAAAAGTCTAAGGAACAACTGTGAGCAATGGTGGACGACGAAAACAAAAGAGATCGAAAAGACAGCGACTGTAGTACATAAACCTTGTGAAGGCTCTTTACTTGAACACTACCAGTCGAGTGAGAGCTTATGGCACACTTTCATCTGCTTTTGCAACCTCAAGTGGTGTCCGTCAAGGCTGTCCACTTTCTCCGTTTTTGTTTAGCTTCAACATAGACCTACTGATGGAAATAACGTTCTCGTCGACTGAATTTTCGGGCATTGATCTCCTACCAGGAGGTACACTTATCGACTTAGAAAACACAGATGATATAGTCCTGTTTGACGAAGACTGGTAAAATACAGTGTTTTGATAACACTGAGCAACAATCCCAGGGTGTTTGGAATGCGTTCCTCCCCATCTAAATGCAAGTCAACACCTAAGCTAAGGATAGGGAGTGAAGTAGTCAAACGCGTTGACAACTTCACTTACCTTGGAAGTCTGATCAGCCCCAATGGGTTGGTGTCTGACGAAATCTCAGCACAGATTCGAAAGGTTCGTTTGGTTTTTGCAAACTTACGTCACCAGTGGCGAAGGCGAGATATCCATCTATCAATTAAGGGACGAGTATACTGCGTGGCAGTCCGTTATGTTCTACTTTACATCTGCGAAACGTGGCCATTAACAGTAGATACTCGTAAGCTACTAGTATTTGACCACATATGCCTTAGAAATATTGCCAACATCTGCTGGGATTACCGGGTAATAGTGGGGTTAGACACAGGGTATTAGGGAATGACGGTAAATCAGTTGATGAGGTTGTAAATCTTCACCGACTGAGATGGTTGGGCCACGTGTTACGTATGCCTGAATACCGATTACCACGACGTGCAATGCTACTCGGTATTGGAAATGGTTGGAAGAAAGTTAGGGGCGGCCAAACCAAAACGTTGCATCAGCCCTTGAAGTCACTAACTTCTTGTCTAAGCCATGCAGTCAGGTACAGACTACTTGGTTGGGGTCCACGTCACTACTGTAACCAATGGTTGAATACTCTGGATGAAATGGCTAGGAATCGATCACGATGGCGTCGGTGTATACACTCTATGTCTTCCCTTAAACCGTGAGATTAAAATTGCTTTATTTCTACCAACTAATTCTTTCTTCCTGTGTTACATCCTTATACACAATCTTTCTTTTGTATATTACCATCTATGAATTAACTACTTCTATGGATTTGGTGTTCATCTTGTTGTGCTAATGAGGTGTGGCAACTTGGATCGATGCATATATGTGCCTGGTCGTACGTTGTAGCTGACCGACTGATATCTTTCTTACATAACTTCTGTTTTGTCGATCGGTGGGTTATTGTTGAATTGTTGTGTATTGGTCAACGGGTTTATCTAGTTCGCATAAGGTAACTTTTCTTATTAAAAGGATCTCTCAATCGTTCTCATTCAGTAATACGGAATCGACTTTTAGTTCACAACAATAATACAAGATATTATATAATAAAGATTAAGTATACAAAGTAACCTTGTATACACTCCCATTATTTATCACTTTTTTAGCTTAAATTTACACAGGTTGAACTTTAAACTAATCTTAACAGTTTCGATAATGTAATAAGAAGACAAAGATTATTCTTATTACATTATCAAAATTTATCAAAGGGACTAATCGCTTTAATCTCAACAAGTAGTTTTCTAGAAATATTTACTTTCATATTTTACGATCTTGCCAACTATACAGGTGTCTAGGAGAGACAGACGATAATGTCATACAGTTAAAACATATAGTGACAGTATTACATTTACATATGAAGTCAAATTAGGAGTTCTTTGTAGGCGTTAAGATTGTTAAAATTATAATACAAACACAAAATGTCCCATTTTGTGTTGAATTCAAAAGTCGATCTAGTCTGGACCGCCACTGAAAACCTGGAAGCTCTGGACGGCCGTTCCATCCTGGCACGGGACGATTCAGCAGTGCGCATCCACGATCCCGCACGTATGACTCGAACCCAGGACTTTCGGTCTCGCGCGCGAACACTCATCCTCTAGACCAGTGAACCGGCATACAACGGTGTTAACATCATAGATTGACTCGTGAATTCAACTGTGGAAATACTACAATCTCCACAAATTACCATACTGATAATAATTATTGATTGAGTCATAATGGGAAGAACTAGAGATTTTTCTGGTAGAATTCTAAGCAAACGTTAGAATCATGTGACATAACCTTAAATTGATTATAACGATACCATTGGTTTGAATTCATATCTCAGTCGATTTATTTTTATTCTCTATGTTATTGCATTTAGACAAATAAAAGGAAAAGTGTACTTTAAATTTTCTGATGATTTAATGACTTTTTTATTAAAGAAAACGCATATTACCTTTGCCTTTGAATTTAAAGAACGGCCAGCTTTCGTCAGTAAAGAACAGAAACCAGAACAGGCGGAGACCTTTTTATATTCTAAAGCTTTATATGTCTTACGTTCAGGATCTAAATAAAGATCTACAATGATATTAAATAATGGTTTTAATTTAAAATCAAGTAATGAAGAACGTTGGATGATATAGTTATTATTACTTTTCCTAAGATTACAATGAGTATAATAATAATAATAATAATAATAATAAGCTGAATACATCTGTTAACAATAAACCATTCACTTTATATGACTGTTTTCAAGACACTAATTGGGAAACTGTACATGTTTCTTACAGCATTTTCAGTAGGGATCGCAAGTTTTGATAGCGAGTATGTATCTAAACCTTTTCCAATGGGAATCGATTAATATTAAGTCATATGGTTAGTATGTAATAAAAAACACAGCAAGCCAACGGAGAAAATGATAATAATTTTTTTTAGGAAATAATCTGCGACACATTGGTTGAGCATTAAATGTCTCGAAACTTTGAAGTAATTAATAGAGATACAGACAAATTGCATTAACTCGACTTAAAAAAATATTCAAGAAAATACAATCATTGACCTTCAATATTATTATTATCAAATAAACGTAATTCAAGATATTCAAAGGTATTGAAAATCCAAATTGTCAGAGGCACTATTACTAGAAAAAAATCTCTGATTTTAACTTTTTAAAAGTAGATGGCACGAAACAGTGAACCTACGTCTCGTCCTAGTTAGGACTCATCAGCAAAAAGTACCTGCAATTTTGAGGGAACTTACGCTTCTATGTGATTTGGACGTTTCAGATCATGAAGCTGAGTGACTCAGGTTCGAACCTCACAAGAGTATAAATTCCTATAGGACTGCAAATAAGTATTGCTGACAAGCGCCAACTAGCATGAAACTTACCTCAAGCAAGGTTTCCTCTCAGCTACCTCAAAAAACCTAATATCAAAAAATAGTGCTCATGATGTTAATCACTTAGAGTAGTGCCTAAATTTCAACTAGATCGATGATAATCGACAAGCAATAGGGACTAAAGAAATATGACACCGGTCACAACTCAATGTTCAATCAATGTAACTATTCTTCCCTTTTGGTTGAGTGAACACCTCGATGTGGTGATGAACAGTAAATTATTATTGAAAACATAGACTGGTCTGCTACTGTATGTAATGAATTCCATAATTTCGTCACTAATTAGTTTCAGAAATGAATATCAAAAGATTATTATATCACAAATGTATGTCTATATAGTTATTTACCTCCATCAAAATAGTGTCCATCTACAAATTCTTTTACACCACCTTCATCGAATGTAATTCCCATTAATTTAATATTGCGTGCATCCAAAGCAGGTTTTAAATGACTCAAATTTTTAGCTTCTAGTCGGCAAAATTTACATCCCAAACGACGAAAGAATGTAATAATACATGTTTGATCCTTGATGTACGATAAATAAAAAGAACGACTTAACAAAAGAAACACAGATGGTGAAGCATACTCGTTACAAAAAAAATTGAGCAATAGCATAACACCTTACACACTCAAATGTTGAACAATTCATTACAGATTCGAAGCTAGTTTTTGGCAACTATCTAGTATAACCAGATCTCATTTAAAAGTGTAGATAGAAGCAGAGTATATGTACCTAGGATTGGTTCAACATTTGCAGAACACTATCTACAAGTAATTACCTCAACGTTCAATGATTAAAGGATAATTGGTAAGAATTAGATTTGGGGTTTTCGCTCATTAACAAACCAAAAATAGACAGACAGGTGTAACCAACGTATTAAACAAGAGGAAAGTCAAATAAGTGGAAATAACAATGTAAAACTAATCAGGAAAAAGGAGGATCGACATAAATGAAACTGGGAAATCAAAATATGGTATGATACTGTTATAACTTGTGGCCTGAGTGCCCTTCTAATGTATACGTAATGATACCGCCAATTAGAGAGCAGTGAATTATCGATCGGAGCAGTGACGCATAAAACACACACGAGCAGTCTAGAGTCCTGATTGGTTCTGCTTTCTGCCTAGCCCAGCCAGTTGAGTTCAGAACACCAATCTCAGCCTCTGCAATATGAAGCAATTATTTCAAACATACGGGGTTTATATACCAATCAAACAGACCACATCGTACCAACGAAGTATGAAACATTTGTACAAGTATTAGCCAGATGTGACTGTGAATGAGGGAGGTAGTAATTAATAGACAGGGCATAATTCAAGAATGGTAGATCGTATAATAATAGTTTATAGGTCAAAATAAAGCTCATAATAAGAGGGACATGAATGTGAACAGTTTAGTTATTTAACAATTATACGATAAAAATATACGCATATTATTGGTCCATAAATGGATCCCAAAAGCTACTATTCATAATGCTTATCGGGACCTAACAAATACTATGTTCAAAAGTTAAACAAAAATCACACATTCGAGCCACTCCAACCGATATTGATACATACTATCTGAAGTCTTTGATCATCATAAGAGCACAATTAAGAGCCTCGTACAAATTTCTATCATAATTATCTAATATTAACTAACTCAATAGTGACCAAATAGTTCAGCAACAACAGAAACTACAAGATCAGGAAGAACAGTACATTGGCCAGTTATACGGTAACCCCATATTTATCTAGACCGAATTCTCAGATTAGCCATATAACATAAAAATTCTCTTTTTCTATTATGATCATTATTGGCCCTATGGATTTTCATCATGCTTACATCCTAACTTCATATATATATATATATATATATATATATATATATATATATATATATATATATATACGCGTTCTTGTAGATTTTATTAATAACTAACAATACACTATCCCAACAACTGATGTTCTGGCCTTTGAGTATTCTCCGGTTAAATCACAGTATCAACTAGGGAAACTGACCTGAACGTGACATCGTCTATTGGAGTTAAATAGAGGAGAATTAGCCTCTACAACCATTCTATGTTAAGATCAGTCCCATTACAACATCCAGCCAGTAAATTCGATTGTGATAAGTTCAAAAGCAATAAATTCCTAATCAGATGGAGACGAAGTAGTGCCAAATGAGCTGTGGGATTAGTAAGATGCTAAGGATATGGTTTGAGAAATACAAAGTTAATCTCAGCAAAATCAAATTAAATATTCATTAGGACGACTTCAAGAAGGTACTTCTTAGGACTGGCTATCATATTCTTAGGTTACCAGGACTTTAAAGAATAATCCCGTTTCCCGTATCAGCTACATTTATTATAGGCTTTGTCTTGTTCACTTCAATTTATTCAATATATCCAATTAGTAATAACAATCTTAGCTTTAAAAATGTTGTCCCTGATCTCCTAGAACTGGAATTCGAAATATTAAAAAGCCCAATGCTTAGATTCACCAAAGAGGCAGGATCGTAAAATAAGTCATCGCAGGAAAATACACAACAAAAATCCACTGAACAATGAAAAAGTCTAACTAGCTTCTACGTACTCTTCAGTTGCTTTTCAGCATGCTGAAATGAGTGACTGAGACTGGAGATTGGTTACGAAGCAGAGCTGATAAACCAGTGGACGTGACAGTGCACTTTTGTCAACTAAGGTGGTCGCAACTGTAAAATATAAAGCCAGTTGGTGATGAAGTTAGTTGGCCATTGGTCGATCTGTTGAAGAGTAGAGTCAAAATACTATAAATCACGTCTCCAAAGGTGGAAGCGTTCGAAAAACTAAGAAGTACTTAAAGTCCAAAAACTCTGCTTGTTCGTCTAAATACTCAATAACCATTATAACTTGTGACAAATGCATCAAATGTGGTTATTAGATCAGTCTTACAACAATACCTCAAGCGTAGGTGGCTGCACTAATTAAGCACTATGTTTGAAAAGTCCCACAACATGTTTGAGTGTTCAGAAACAATTTTGTAAACTTCCCTTTTGTTTCCCTACTCAACACTGTTCAAAAAACGACCAATCAGGAGTTTAAAGGCATTTGAGGACCCCATTGATGTTTTAGACTATAAAATCTTTGGAACCAGGTCACCCAAATCTTACCACTAAACAATTAGCAGCTTTACTCGATGATGTAGTTTTTAACTTCTTCGACAGACTTTCTCAAAGGTTGCTTTGAAACCTATTAGATATAATAGAAAGCTTTTTACTGAAGCCTTAAGCACTGTTATAGACAGATATTTACAAAATGAGAAATACTACTTGGACACAAAGCATATTTCACATTGAGATGAGTTTTGAGGCTAAATTATTAGTGGCATATTTTTAGTCATGTACATACTAATCACGCTGGTTATACGAAGCATACTGGTCCACAAAGTTTCTCATGCTACACGAGAAAATAAAGCTGTTACATACTACATGCAAATTCCTTTGAGATAACGGAAAAAAAGAAGTAGAATACTCAGCGAATAACAAACGTGTAGTTAGTATTGTGAAAGAGATTAATAAAGTGAGCGAAACTGTGGTAGAAGAAATTACATTTAACATAGAAATTATGAGACTAGAAATTCCTGACAATAGCAACAAAATCTTAGTGATATCAAAAACGTTGACGTCATCATGGTTTCATAAACGTGAGTAATATTTGAAATGAATGATAATGCAGTACTTATTATTAATCAAAGCCACTGTGTATCTTAAGCTTTGAGCTACACGATATAAGTAAAGCCTGATGATAAAATTGGTTGCCGAATCGAAATAGGCAGACTGTTAATTCTACCCAAGATCTGATGGTATTCTCTGATCAATTGATCCCTGATTTATATTAACAAAGTGTAATCCCTGAAAATATTAGAACTGTAGAACTGACAGATCAACTTGTAGATATGCTGTACGTAAATATCGATGCTCATAAAGGCTATAGAGACAGTGCCCCATAACAACTAATCGTAAACTTTTACTATAGCTCTTGTAATGTGCAGTATCATATATTGAAATAAAAATAGCATACCGAAGCCTAAAGTATGAAGTTTAAAAGTTCCTTTTATATGGACTGAAACGTTGATCAAATGAACTAGGGAGTCTTAGTGTAAAGGGCACTATCGCACCTTTTATTTATTGGAAATAGCTGATAACAGATTAATCGACCAACTCGTTTGATCACAAACTGTTACAGCATATCGTTACCCTTGTCTATTACAGTAAAAGAAATGAGCAATCCGATACGATTTCCGGCATGCAGAGAGAACGTAGTGACTACAGAAAGCCACCTTAGAGATCTTTGTAAATAAGGCGTCTCTGGGTATGGAATTAGTTTAAACAGATACAGAAGTATAAAGAATCATTTATTTAGAAATTAAGATGAAATGAAAATTATAGGTCAAGCAGATTTATGTACTTGCTTTGGCACCACTTTGAGTGTGAGGGCTGGTGATACTAGTTGGAGACGCAAATAGAAGTACGTGAGGTAGTATTACAACCTGAATCCTAATAGTTAAAAGTTATGTGTTTTAACGACTGAACTGTTCCTGCACCAACTAATATACTGATGTTAAATGTAAGTCAATGTATATTAGTGTATTTTTTATAACTGATGGGCTAAATAATGAACCGATCATTTTTACAAATGATATGATGAGGACCGCACAACAAAATTGAAATTATTTACAGAAATCACCTACCTTTTAAAAGTTTTTCTTACAATATAAACTTAGTAAGAGAAATTTGAATATGGTCTACAAACAACAGAAAACTAGCATATTATGTTTTCAAATAAATGGAGCATTGGATAGAGATTTGATAATAAAGATATGTTTTGTTATATCCTAATGAATAGAAAAATTGTAATTCTGACGCTTCGTGACTTAGTATATTATATATTTCCTGTCCTTCAACTAATCAGTCAGTCATATGCAACGTAGGACCTGTAACATATATGCACCGGTTCAAGTTGCCATATCGTATAGGGAAAGCGAGATACCAGAGTAGTAAAAGTAATAACAGTATTACTGATAGTAGAAGAGAATACATATACGACATATGAGTCGAGAATAGAATATGGATTCATGTAATAAAACGAAAATTTTTTCAGATAATTGAGAAACGTGAGATCTAAAGGAAGAGAGAATGATTACGTCTACACCACTGCGTACGATTCTTGTCGATCTAATTCAGGGTGTACAACCGTTAGTTACGATAATCATTCGGAAACCAACCAGGTAGTTTGTAAACATTCATAGATCTCAGTCCAAAAGTTAATAACTTCGTGGACTGATGGCTTGTTTTAGTTTGGCCGCCTCTAATTTTCTTCCGACACATGCATATATCAGCCATCATCGCCTGTCGAGGTAGGTAATAGTTGGACATACATAATATATGCTCCAGATACCTCGGTTGAAGATTCGCTGTCTTGTCAGTCGATTTGCCATCTTTACCTAGTACTTGGAGTTTAACCTCAGAATTGCTCACTCGATGATCCCAACATTCATGAGTAATGCTTCAAAGGGGTCTATGATTAAATAATAGTAACCTACGAAGGTTCTGAAGTGATAAAGCAAGATGAAAGGGACTATTTGGCGGTATACAAACCTTTAAGTTGGAGAGCGAATATCTCGACTAAGACACAAGTGATGTAAGTTGGCAAAAGACAATCTAGATTTTTAAATCCGTACCGATATTTTATCGGGTCAACCACCACCCACTAGAGGTAATGTGACTTTCAAGTGGAATGATCAATATGCCCAACTACTTTAACCTTTATTAGTTCAGGCGAAGACACAAATCCGTTTTCAAGCTAGAGGGAGAGGGACGCATCCGAAACATGCTTGGTTTGCTGCTCAAAGATTTTAGAAAACTTGGATTATTTCACCTTCCTCAACAAAGATGAATGTGCTCTTTAAACTCACTTCAACAAGACTTAATTGATTAGTGACATAGTTGATATCTACTAGTACTTTAATATATCTTTGTGCCCACAGAGATGATAACACTCCAAGTTGACAAGACGTTTCTGTCGCTATTCAAAAAGTACAGTGGCATTTTTCCTCTGAATATATTTTATAGTATTGATCGTTAAATTACGCATCAAGACTACTGTTTTTGCTTTAACTGAATTTATTTCAGTTAAAGTAATCCCTAACAGTACCGCTTTTTTCTAGAGAAGTTTATCATCTGTACTTTCCGAGTACAGACACAAAAAACTAAGGGCACTGGTATTTATTTTTCCTCCTTGAGTATATCCTTTAGTATTGTTTGTATCCGTAGGTGTTAAGGTCTTTTTCTAACTACTGAAATCGGGGTTTTTGTTGTTGTTATATACAGTTATATACAAACCTGTTTTTGTTTGTGTTCAGTGTATATCACCTATCAATCCTTAAAAGACAATTTATCTAGAGATCAGTTTTCACTGTGAGACCACAAAACAAATTTGTGGCGCAAGCAAAACATCATTGCTATTTGCGGTGGATTAGGGGATCGAATGTGATAACAACAATAAACGATATCATAATGTGGGCACCGGACTCACGCCGGTTGCATATAAACGGTGCCGCGAGCCATTATCACGTTGGTTGTGTAAAGAATGTTGTTCTACTAAGTCTCTGCTGATTCTAGAGGCGATCGAGCTGCTAAACATAGCTAAAAAGTTACCCTCAGATAAACAGACAGCAGTAGATGAGTGGAATTCCGCTTCCGAGGAAATAGAGAGTGTTATCATGAGCCCAGCTCTGGATTTGAACAAGACCATAAAGGTGGACCCCCCCGTGAAGATCTCAGCCCGGTTAACCGCATCAAGAGACGAGCTGTATAAGTAGAAATAAATGAGCTTTGTAACGGTGAAAGAAACTTCATTCTTAAGGGTTTTCAAATTGTAAAAGTTCGGAGCAAAGCAATCCCCAAACCACTCTGGGTAGTAAGGGAAAGTTCTCCACAGAATTAAAGGTGTGTTACACAAATGCTCTCAGACTACCAAGTAAAATGGAGGAGCTCAAGACAATGATGGATATAGAAAAACCGGATGTTATTGTTGTCTCACAAACATGGTTAACAACAGAATTGTTTGATAATGAAATTCGATTGACAGTTTTTTATTCAGTAGGGCTGATAAATTAAACCGTAGGGAGGCGGGGTTATCCTGTACACGAAAAGTACCTTAGCCATACGAGCTGTTGAGACAGTGGCACATGATTCAGGGACATGTGAACTGGTGCGTTGCAGGCTGAAATGTAGACGGCAAGATATTGAATTAGTTGTAGTATATCGCAGTTCATAATGTGTAGTAGATTACTTCCTCCTAAGCAAACTTAAATCCTGGTGTAATAGGGGTAAAAGCCTTATAGTAGGCGACTTTAATGCACCGCATATAAACTGGGTAAGCTTAGAAGTATGATCATCAACAACGTCATTCTATTGCAAACTGTTAGAAACCTCAATTGCACTAGCTTTATTCCAGCACATTAGAGATCTCACTAGATATGACTTACAAAGCTCCACGTCTTTCCTGGATTAAGTCTTTATACACGGTGATGAAGTCGGTCAAATGATTTTCCTCCCACCACTAGGGAAAAGTGACCATTCAGTCATATTATTCAGATTCATGGCTGAGATTGCCTGTCAGACAGTTGCGCCGGCCCGTCCTAATATATGGAAGGCAGATATGGAGGCAATCAACTCCACAGCATCGGCTGAAAACTGGGAAATTGACTCAAGGGAATCAGTACAAAAGGCATAGACTCATTTCAGGCGGCTATAAGATCGAATAACTCAACCATACATACCCTGGACAGAAAAGGTTTATCTTGCACAACAAACCTTTTTATAGCAAGGGAGCAATGGATAAAAACTCTAGACAACGGAAAAAGACTGGATGTTGTCTACATAGACTTCAGCAAAGCATTTGACAAGATGCCAACAAATAGACTGCTATTAAAGCTAGAAAACCTTGGTATTGCTGGACCGCTGCTAAAATGCATTAAGGATTTCCTAGTAAGTCGTAGACAATAAGTAAGAATAAATTCCAAGTGCTCCACCTGGAGATCAGTACTTAGTGCAGTACCGCAAAGTTCTGTCCTAGGTTTCTTACATTTCATACTGTATGTAAACGATCTCCCAAGTTTAGTACAGTCTCCAATGTTATTATACGCTGACGATGTAAAAATCTGGCAAGAAATAACGGGAGACGCAGATGCATGCACACTTCAGGCAGACTTAAATATTTCGATTAACTGGTCTAAAGAGTGGATGATGCCTATTAACGCGGCAAAGTATATCTAAATGCACCTCAGGAATACAAAAGTAAACAGGTACAGCATAGGGGAAGTGCCTGTACCCGTGATCCGGTCTTACAAGGATCTTGGGGTGACAATGAGTCATGATATCAAGACTACGGCCCATTGCCTGGAGGTCGCAGCTAAGGGGTTTAGAACGCCATGAGCTTTAAGACGGACATTCACCCGTTTACATGCTACCATGTTCACTACAGTATACACAACCTTAGTGAGAACTAATCTTGAGAACTGAATTCAGGCTACAAGCCCCTGTTTAAAATGTGACTCGGATATCCTGGAAAAAGTACAGAGGGCAGCTACCCGTGCAATTCCAGAACTCTGGCGTCTACCATACAAAGAGCTACTTGAAAAGCTAGACCTCTTTACTCCGTCCTATGACAGATCAGATCACAGGTGATCTGATTTTGATGTAGAGAATACTAAGAAATGATTCGACGAGTTGTTTCGAATTTTATATCCGACCTATGTAAGACCACAATTAGAGTACTGTATCCAAGCAGCTAATCCATATCTGATAAAAGATACTAACTCACTTGAGCGTGTTAAGCGTGTGGGAACAAAATTAGTGAAGGGTCTTTCTAAACTCCCTTACGATGTGAGCTTAAAACACTTAAACCTTTTCAACTTGTCGAATCGTAGGAAGCGAGGTGATCTTATGCTAGCATTTCTTATCTTCAATTATGATTTGGGTGTTAATATGTCTTATCGTTTTGCTCCCTCAGAACTAATAATTTCCGAGGTCATCGAAAAAAGGTTCACAAACCGCGATATAATAAACTTAAAGCGGGGTCCCGTTTTTCTCATCGAGTAGTAAGTGACCGGAACGCCTTACCCGAACAAGTGGTATCAGCCCCACCAGCGAATATTTTCAAGGGGAAACTGGACCTTCACTGGACGGCAATCTGTCAAGATTAACACAGATTCACCAACCTACTGTTCTTATTACTGAAGTCTGATACTAAGTTCCAGTAAAGGCTTACGGCAAAGTCAGTTGTATAAATAAAGTCTATCGATGATAAAAAACGCTCTAGTATCGATCAGTTTTACTCAAAACAGAATATGGCCAGTAGAATTTAAATGTTCATAAACATTAATTGTAGATTAAAAACCACGTTTAGTAACTTACTCGCCAGAATGAGTCCAAAGTACATGTTTGCGAGCCCAAAGCAGAATGTACAATGCACGTACCAACCTTCGCGAGCAAAGGAGATGCCATTGCGGATCAAGTAATAGTTTATAGATTGCTACCAATCAATAGCCCATATTGAAAACAAAGATACAAAATTGACCGCGGTTGTCCTTCTCAAGGTCAAGTTAACTACCAATCAAATTTGTCTCAGCCTCGTTTTAATTGGTACATGTCAACACTAGGTAATCAACCAATAAGTTTAGTTGAAAGACCCTACAAGCTTTCAGGAATGGTTTGTTTTACTAATACACAGTTTTTTGTAAGTAAAAGTGAAAATCCCTTGAATGAGCACAGTCGGATCCTTATCAGGCTTTAATATACAAGAATATCTATACCCATATATTAAATTGTTAAACCAGTAAAAACAGCTTACGAGTCAGCCAGTTTCCCAATCAACCAACGAAGGGGAAATAAAGGGGACGAAAGGGTAAATAATGGGGAAATATCGCTTTTTTGCATTCACGTTGGTTATTTAGGGGAAATATCAATTTTTCCACCTTACGTCGTGTGTTTGGGGGATATTTGTGAACACTTATACGTAACGTACGGTGTTTGAATATCCCACATCCCGTAATTATGTTTTCATAACCGTCGACAAAATAACGCATCCTTTAATAAAAAAACAAAACTATTGTCATAAACACAAGTAACAAAATAGGGACACAGGCATTTGGCTGAAACGCATATACACTGACTTTGTTTTTTTAGCTAGTGTTCCGAAACACTTCATAGCCATCACAAATAACTAACGTGATGCGTATATTTAAGCGAAAAGTAGACAATTCAGCGACATTTAAGAGACAGAGCGACAAAAAGGGGGAAATCCGTATTATTTCCCCCGGACAGGCGAAAAAGCAGACATTTTGGCGCGTTTCCCCTTAATTTTCCAACGCATTTTCCCCTTTATTTACCCTTTGTTGGTTGATTGGGTTGGCGTACAATCATGCAAGCGAACTAACATCGTGTAAACACCTCCCTAAGTGGTTAGAACAGGGTATCATCAAAACAGTACACAACTCTGTTCAATTACACTTGATCGATAGCGGTCGTGCATAAAACAGAAATAGGTCATTTTTAGGTCAGATTACTACTAGTTTTCGATCTTGGCTCTTACACATATCAGAAGTTACTAGGATTAGAGCTGACAATCTAAGTCTTTGTATTCATCTGGAATTCACAACACCCTTATTTCGTCCTTTACCGAACAAGCCTTAATAAAAGTTTTTTAACTACTAGTATTTTCTTACTCTTTGTTCGTTTATATTTCTTCACCCTTATTTTTTCTAATATACGTTTCACTGACGAGTTATCTGAACACTTCTTATTATGTAATATAATGATTTTTGATGAATACTATGTCATTGTCTATATTTTTAAGTCACTGACTTACCTCCAATTATTAAATATTAATTTAAGCCCTTGTAATTCTTATTGTAACTGGTCCACCTATCATCACACTATCAATTTTTACGCTTTACTAATGTCTTTTTTCAATGTAATTCATCTCAGTGTTATCATTGATTCATAAACTGCCTTGGTTGATTTAAAGATTTCTTATATGTATATAAATCTCGTTGTATATTACGTTAAAGCCTGATAAGAATCTAATTGAAAACAATATTGCTCTCAGTCCCAATATGAGAATTTTTAATATTTTAAATCTTATATAATAGACTAATATTATATTACTGAATAGGATAGATATTTGCCATTCGAATGATATGAAATAGTAACTTTGTGACTAGATTCACTTGGTATTGTTTTACTTGAATCTTCCCATTGATGTTTTAGGACTGAAATTGATTAGTCTCTTATTGGCATATGTATATACTGTGCATATGCCTCGATACTGCCTTAATTTACAAGCATTATAGGCAAAGATGAATAGTGGCTAGCAGTGGAATCGACGACGCGCGTTTCGTCCTATTTGGGACTCGTCAACTGGATGTACCTGCATCTCAGAATTGACGTTCACTCTGGGACTCGAACCCAGTACCATTCGCTTCAAACGCCATTGCCTTATCCGCTTTGCTACTGATTCCTGATAGTCACTTGCTTGTGCAATGGGATGAAGTTTAATTCGCTTGGTATTGTTTTACTTGAATCTTCTCATTGATTTTTTAGGACTGAAATTGATCAGTCTCTTATTGGCATATCAACTCTGAGATGCAGGTACATCTAGCTGACGAGTCCCAAACAGGACGAAACGCGCGTCTTGGATTCCACTGCTAGCTACTATCCATCTTTGCTTTATGACTAGAGTTTATTTTTCATATCTGCGATTTAGAAAAGTCAAGGAAAACATAGCAAATTTCATAAAACCAATAAAGTAATATATTTCATTGCTTTAGTAGATTCATTACAACACTACACAAGTTAGTTAATTAGTTATTAGTACTAAATTTACCAATTTCTATCACTTTACTACAGTACAAAGTGTTTAACATGAACTAAACATAAGATAAATAGAATAATAGAAATATAAACTGATCATTAAAATTCAACACTGGATTTCATCTAATATAATAAGTTCAAATGAAATCAAAGAAAAAAAAATGAACTAAATAGACATTAAGTTTACAAAGAATAAAATGAACATTGAAAAATGAAGGCATGAAGTCCTTCTGTCTCTCCCTCTCTCTCTCTCTCTCTCTCTCTAATCAATAATGATCTACTACTGGTTCGTAAGACCTTACTATTTGCTTCTATCTTTTTTTTCTATTATATTCTACAAGTGATTACTATTGCAGATTGTTGTTCAGTTTGTTATTTTTTTTAGAATCACCGTGTTCTTTTTTCTTTTGTGAATTTCTACTCTTATTTGTTTGTTTTTTTGAATTATTTACCAAATCTATATGTTTTGATTTCAATGGTAATTGTTCAATTATGAATGGATCAAATAATTCTGTTTGTGTTTTATCATTTAATACTGTTTTAATATATTTACTCTTAATACTACTCGCTTTGTTAAAACTATTTGTTACTAATTGGATAGATGAATTTTTAGGGGATATAGATTTATCCAGTGTATTTGTAATGATTGATTTGATAGAATTATGATCAGTTAATTCGGTGGAAAATGTTTTTCGATTATTTTGTAGATTATTTTGATGATATAATTGTGATGTATGTTGTTGAAGTTGTGTTTGTTGTTTTTCATAATTGTTTGTCATTGGTGTATCAATGATCAGTGAATTTTTGGTGCTAATTATTTTCTCTGAATTAAAATGATCTTGTTGATTTGATAATGTTTGTTGTATATTTGATGAATTTATGGATGTATCAAAAGGTATAGAATTTGATTGAGTTGATAATGATGACAATGATGATGATGATAATGCACTTAATGCAAATGATCTTGATTTACTATTGGTTATTTTAAATGATACTTGTAAAATTCTATTATCTAATACAAATCCATTTAATGAATGAATAGCTAATACAGCTTCTTCATAATTACTCATTGTAACAAAAGCAAAACCTTTACATTTATTATTAGTTGTATCATATACAATTTTAATAGATTGTACAGCACCGAATGGACCAAATAGTTGCCATAAATTAGATTCTTCTACTTCTGGAGCTAAATTATACACAAATATACACCAACCATTAGATGTTAAGCCACCAGTACTTGCTACAATTGTCGGTGCTAAAATTGAATTGCTCATAGCGATTGTTGAAAGTAGATCTGTTTCAGTGGAACTAGGTGATGTAATAGAATATTTTAATCGATTTGATATTGCAGCTATTCGTTGTTGTAATGGATTTAATAATCCTGCAGCGATAACTGCTGAAGTAGCATTTCGTGATAATGGTGATGGCATAGCAGTAGACGTTGTAATTGCTTGTAATTGAGCTGCTTGTTTTAATAATACAAGACTAAGATTATCAAATTTTATTGAACTTGGTGAATTGGCAAATTTCACGGTAATTGGTCTATTTAGCATATCGTTTGAATATTCAGACGGTAGTTGATGACCATTTAATTGTTGTATAGCTAATTCAGCTTCATAACGATGATCAAAACGTATAAAAGCTACACCACGTGATATACCTGTCTTATTATCATATAATATACGTGCTGTTATAATACGACCATATTGACTAAATAAATGTTCTAATTCCTTTTGTGTCATTGTTTTAGGTAAACCACAAATATATAAATTTGCACCTTTAATTGATTCACAATTTGGTCTAGCTAATGATACTTTAATTGTTTTATTTTGTAATGACAAACCATTCAATGTATTTATTGCTTGTTGTGCTTCATTTGATTGTGAATATTTTACAAATGCATAACCAAGACTTTCACCACTCGTTTTATCACGTATTAATTTACAACTTTCAACTTTACCACATGTAGAAAATAATACTTTGACTTCTTCTTTTGACATATATGGAGGTAAGTAATTGATTATTAAATTGGTTTCATCAATGTAATTATCATTATTATTATTATTATTATCATTACTATTATTCACTGTTATGTTTATATCATATGAATTATTTGTTGAATGCTCATAATTGTTGTTATCATTATGACTATTAGTATTCTTTTTAGTAGTTGTTAGACAATGAGTTTTTGGATTGTTGCTAATTGAAGTTGGTGAATGTAAATGATGGTTTATATCATTTCCATTTACTTTATGATCGTGTACTGTAGAGTTGTTATTATTATTATTATTATTAGTAGTAGTAGTAGTAGTAGTAGCAGTAGTAGTAGTAGTAGTAGTAATAACCGGTCTTTTCTTAGCAAATTTACTTGAACATTGACTTAACAAATAAGGAGAATCAGATGGACATAATGAAGAGACAAGAGTTCGATGATCATGATGTATTTGTTTCTGTCGTTGATGTTGATTTGACTCAAGACTATTTGATTGGTTGACACTAAATGATGATGATGAGATCGGTGATGTATTGATTGATACTGCTATTGTTGTTGTTGAACAAGATACTTGTGATTTCATATTAGTTTTGAAAAAATTGTCAAGATTTTGTTGTTTAAGTGAACTGTTACCATTACAACTTGAATTTATTTTATGAATGTCAGAAGTAACAATATCATCAATGTATCCACTGGCATTTCTGTGATAAATACTAGCATCATTTGGATAATTACAACTATACATGTCATGTGCATTATCATTATCCGATGATGGTTGAC